AATGTGAAATCAAAGAACGTGGAAAATCACCCCAAGCTTGCTTTTATAAATGGAAAAAACATCTTAGGATGTTCTTGATGAAGCATTACTTCATCTTTAATTGTTCAAAAACCTTGTAAATTGAAATTCATTAATTGACCATATGTTGTGGCTCCATTTATTTATCCCCTAAGTCACAAGAGAAGATATCAAGGTTGCCTTTTTAAAGCTTGCATGACTTAGGTTTAAATCTTAAAATTAGATTTACATCTGAGAGCCCCTGGCTCTTGGCTTACCTTATTTCCCAGTTGAAAGATAATTATGGTTGTGAAAGTCAAAGCCAGGGTACATTCTTTGTGGCCAGAGATTGAAGCAGCCTTTGGCATCCATTCTGTCAGTGGCCTTGCTGGCTATCCTTCCCCAGCTTTCTTGTAGCATAGTTATTATAATAGATTGGGAAAAGGCTAAGAGTCAAAGCCAAGGATTAACAGACAGGAGAAATTATCACAGTCAGGAGTTAAAAGCCAGCAAACTGGGCCTGTTTTGCATCCTACTGCTATTGGAAACATCAGTTTATGACCATCTCCAATCTTAGAACTCAGTCTCTGGTGCATTGCAAAGGGCTTGAATGAAATGAAAGATTTAAAAGAGAAAGAACGTTGAAATAAATTGCAGTATGCTTGCAAGTCTTTAGATGAGAATGGTCAGATGAGAAATGGAAGCCCCCAATATTCAGCTTTGTCCTTTCCCCCACAGATGGCAGCCAGATAGTCCAAAGAAGGGAGAACAACTAACAAGAGCCTCAGCAGTAAAGTGCAAGCTTTTCTCTCTCAGTGCATGAACATGTTCACTCATTCACCTGCACAGAAAATTCACCTGAGAAAAGGAAGAAAACTGTTTTTATCATATAACTCTAAAACCTTTTTGATGATGATCAACCCCAGAGAGAAAACATAATCTACAATATTTATAAATATCTACGGTACTGAGAAATGAGTGGCTGAAAGTGTAACAGATGCTAAAGCGCTCATGGTTGATCAAGACTTTAACATATGTAAGGAAAATAGCTTTTCTGCTCCCACTACATTGGGAGATTAGCTTCAGTGTCGGCTATTATATTGCGCTGGTGCCAAACTACAGTATCTTGCTGCAAGACAGAAGGTTCCCTATTAGAATCTGCATCCACCAAGCACCAGGCAGACTTCTTAAAAACTTTCCCATCTCCTTTTCCTTTTCTGCCTGGTTTCATTGTCACCTGTCCCAAAGTTCAGTTTACCATGTTAAGTATTGGGGATAAAAAGAGAAGAGGGAAGTGTCCTCCTAGAAACTCCCATCCTTCCCTTTTTTATGTTTTTTAAAACTGTCCAGTCTTTGTAACCCAATACAGTTAGTCCTCGACTTACAACAGTTCATTTACTGACCATTCAAAGTTACAACGGCACTGAAAAAAGTGACTTATGACATTTGTCACATTTACGACCTTTGTAGCATCCCCATGATCATATGATCAAAATTCAGATGCTTGGCATGCTTACGACCGTTGCTGTATCCCAAGGTCATGTGATACCCTTTTATGATCTTCCAATGAGCAAAAGTCAACAAGGAAGCCAAATTCACTTAGCAACTATGTTGTTAACCTATCAATTGCCGTGATTCACTTAACAACTGTGGCAAGAAAGGTCATAAAATGGGGCAAAACTCACTTAACAAATGTTTAATTTAACAACAGCTTTTGGGCTCAGTTGTGATCGTAAGCTGAGGACTACCTGTAATAAGCTGTTCTTTTACATGCTTGGCTGTGTTTTTAAACCTGAGCATTTTTGTGTTTATTGTGCAGTGAATGGGGAGCAGGAAGAAAATTCAGGAAGCAAGGATTTCAGGCACTCGTAAATATGATTATTTTGTTTTGAAACAGTCTGGTGTTTTTTTGTGCACTCATAATTGTGCAGTGCAGGGATAAAAGCCACATTTGCACAGCCGAGGAACTAAATATAAATGTAAAAGTAACATGGTATACAATAATATCCTACGCAAGTGCTGCTATGGTTTCAATATCAAGATAAACACTTTTGTTGGTGCATCTAAAGATGCTTTTCTGGAGCTGCATCACTGCCACAATGCTGAGCTCAATTTGGTCTACACATATTCCTGCACAAGTGTACACGATACATGGATTACATGAATGGATTGTTTAAAAGTATAGATTTGCATAATAACTTTTGAGTGCCCTTTGATTCTTTTGATTCTTCATAATCCCTGAAAGCAAACATTTGTTTTAGCAGACTGCTTAAAGCAAAAGACACAGAAATTTGACTTTATTTTTAAGCAGGCAATCTTGGCAAATGTCTGGGCAGATTCCAGCCACAAGATTAGAACTGGATTGCAGGATTGCCTGCAGCTTCATGCAATTGAAAGTTCAAACTGAAGCTGCTCTTGGCTCTAGGTCAAAGAATGATCTGTGTAGGATTTACTTGGGGATTAGAGTAATAACGCTGGAGTTTGAGCTCAGTTATACACTGTAGATTTCTTCTTCAGCCCCGTTGTTTATAAGAGTTTGCAAAGATGAATTCCAGCCTCTCCATAGTTCTGATTGGGTAACTTTGGAGATACTCTCCAAAGTCTGTTGCAAAACTAGAATGTTCCTTTTTCACTTAGTTTCTGGCATAGTTGGATCAGCAAATGCAGCTAATATGAGCAATACTGAGTACAGTTTCTAAAATACTTGGAAAAGGACATTGATTTTCGGGTACAAGGGGTCATTATTCTCATTTTGTTCAGCCGAGCCATAATGCCACAACACTGTCCCCTGTATCTCACATTTATTGTTTGTACAAATATGGAGTGTTATGTTTCTTCTTGGAAAACCAAAGACAAATGTATAGAGAATGTAAAGAATGATCATGGCTTTGGGTGGAAAGAATGAAAAGGCGTGAACAAAAATGGAAGGGTTTGGACTTTAAAAAACACACAGTAGGATCATTTCTAGTTTCTGGATGGAGGCTCTGCTCATAATCAAGAGTGCTCATGGTAAAGGGGAGAAACCCAATCCACATTAAAACAATGCCATTATTAGATCCTTTGAAAGCTTAAAAGAAATCATAAGCTCCTGGAAACTTTGCAGACTTCATGGTATTCTTGTAGACACAATGCATTTCAAAATTTACAAACGGAAGGTAATTATTTTGGAACATATCTATGCCTCCATAAAATTCTTCATGGATACACCAGAATATAATAAAATACCTTATGCTAAAAGCGATCCTTAATCCACATAGTGCAGTGTTATCTACAAGTAGTCCTCAACTTAACAACCACAATTGGGACCAGAATTTTCATTGCTAAGTAAACTACTTGTTAAGTAAGTCACAAAAACTTTTAGACTTTTTTTTTTGCTATATTTGTTAAGTGAATCATATTCACTGTTAAGTGAATCATGTGGTTGTTAAGTGAATCCAGCTTCCCCCATTGACTTTACTTATTGGATACCAGCTGAGAAAGTGACAAATGATAAGGATCTGACCCTGGGACATTGCAACTGTTGTAAATGCATGCAGATTTCCAAGCATCAGAATTTTGATCACATAATTAATGGGTTGCTATGACAGTCATAAGTGCGAAGACTGATTGTAAGACTGATTGTAAGACTGATAGAAGACTTTTTTTCTGTGCTGTTGTAACTTTAATAGTCATTAAATGAATTATTGTAAATCCAGGACTACCTGTATTTTGCTAGCAGAGCAGCTTTCCAAGATTTCGTCTTTCTGAGGCTTCCCGATTTCTTTTCTTAGCTAATAAAACCAAGTGCTAAATCTGGGGCCTCTGTATGAAAAAATATGGCCCTGTCACTGAGCTATGGCCTTTTCTCAGAATGCCCATTTCAGTCCAGAAGGGTTTTCCAATCAAGTGGCAGAACTCGAGCTACAGAAATATAGCATCTTCTAATCTGGTTGAGATATTTCATATTTGTATTATCTGGTGATTGCAGGGACCAATACAGAAATCAGGTCCTTCAGGTCTCTGTGTCTGAAGGAAGTCTCTGAGAGTTAGCACATTTAATGCAGGAAGTAGTGTTCTTGAAACAAGCTCCCAAGCCCTGCAAGGAGCATAATATTAGAAGGTAAATGAAGCATCTGCTTTATATTAGTATTTAATGATTGAAGGAATATACAGCAGTTGATCCTTTTTAGTAAATAGGAGGCAGCCTATTTATTCTGCATTTTGCAGCATGTAGTTTCAGGTCATTTGCTCAGTTGTTTGTACATTGATGATTCACCATTGACAGTACCTTTGCTGGAAGACACGTCTTTCACCTGTCCATTTTCTGGGAAGCATGGGAGATTTCCAGGGTTGGCCTACTTAGGATCATTGTTGCCTCCCCAAATCAAGAAAGCCCCAAGATCCTATCAGTATAATTAGAATGAGGGATCCCAACTTCTAGAAGGTTGACTTATTATACCTTGAAATATGGCATGTCCATCCATTTACTGAGAATTCTAATACCAATACAATTGCTAATTTCATGGTATTTCCCTGCCATAGTACTAGGTCAGATATAACATTGTTCTGGCTCAATTTTGGGAATTTCCTAGGTTCATAGATGCCCTTGAGATATATTGCGACCGCATAGTCTTTAGGTATGCTTTGCCATATATCTGGGATTACAGGAGTCAAATTCCAATATATTTGAAGAACAGTCTTTGAAATACTTCATGACAGACATACTGAATCCAGCTAACCAACAGTTCCTTTGATTCTCTTCTTGAACCTTCTGTTCCAATCTTGAATTACATCTAGGCAGCTCCTCATAGACAGTATGTAGACTGAAATAAATTTTGGAGGACGAATTTCCACAAAGTTCTGCCTTCTTTTTTTGGTTGAGTCCAGCACGGCCAGGTATTCTTAGCTATTTATAAAAAAATAATGAAAGCTTTGGTTTTAACTCTGTGTGACTAAGAATAAGCAAATGACAGTATCTTGTTTTCATCTTTTCACTAATATTCTGTTCGTTTGCTCTGTCCCAGATTTCCCAATCCTTGGCACCCTCCAGATGGATGGACGTCAACTCTCAAAAATCTCAGCAATCAACACACTTCTGCGAGTTGAGGTCCACATATCTGGAAGGCCCCCAGGCTGGGGAAGGCTGCTGGAGCTGATTATCTCTTCTGTCTCACTTGATGTTTAATTGGGAGGTAAGTTTTGAAATATAGAATTTTTTATTCCATGCCTCTTTTTCTCCCATAGGATTACAGTATAGTAAAATAATGTGTCATACAAAGGGCCCAGTTATGACTTAAGTCAGAAGCTGAGGATTTACTATAGCCCAAAACTGTTATGCAGAATAGCAATAGAGTTCCTGTATCATCATTTTAACAGATTGAGAGACAGTGATTTTATGAGGTCCAGGATTAGTTCTTTTCTTTTCTCACTGGCCATCTTATTAATTTCTTTCTATCTTGGACACTCTTCCAATTTGTATAGATTCTTTCCACATTTTTTTCTAGGAAAGGCGTTTATTGGGCTGGGCAAGCTGTAACGCTTCAGATGTTGATTTACATCTTCTAGTAGCCCAGGTTGGTACAGGGGTGTCTGTTGGGAGGGACAGAGGATTAAAAAAGTCAAGCAGATGACTGCAACTGAAGCCCCTGCTTCCCCTTTTTATATTTGGCTGCACTTTGATCACATGGTTGTGGCTGCCATCGTGACTTTTTGGATATCCCATTTCTCCCTATAGTTAACCTTTCATATGGAAAATGATGAGAAATGCTGGCAGCTGTAGTTCATTAAATCTGCCTCACCAGCATGCTGGGAAATTAGTTGAAGTACTGATTGATCATTAGGGAAAACTGTAATATTATTAATTCTATCAGCATTGCCAATGAATTGGATGGACCATGAAAAGGTGAGGGAAAAAAACCTTGCTTTTGTTATCCTTAAATAGCTCTCTTTGGTTGATAAGCATTTGCTTGTCCTTGTAAAACTAGAAAGGCATCTTGTTCATCAAATATCTGACTTGTGGAATTCTTGACTATAAGGTCATTGGATAATTTTAAAATGAACTGAATGAATTCAAGGAGGATGGGGTTGTCAAGGATCATCTCTAGGATGATGTCTCCTAAGCCAGTGGTTACAATGGCAGGTAAAAGGTATAAAGGTAGTCCTCAACTTACAACCATCCTATGGTTGAAATACAACAGTATTGGAAAAAAGTGAATTACAATCTGTGTTCACACTTATGACTGTTGCACCACCACCACCACCATGATCATGATCACAATACAGGCACTAGGCATCCGGCTTGCATTTATGACCAGTTGCAATATCCTGCAGTCATATGATTGTGATTTGTGAGCTTTTTTTTTGGCTAATTGCCAGCAAAGTTTTGATTTGCTTAATGACTACAGTGATTCGCTGTTTTAAAGAGCGCCATAAAATTGTTGTAAAATCTTAAAACATAAGCCTGCAACCAGTTATGACAGAAATTACGGTCCCAATTTAAGTACTCCAAAGACCTCTAATTGGCAACTTTGCAGAGCAAAATTGCAGACTAAGTTGGACCTTGACTTTTTCCAAAAAAAGCCCCCATAGTTCTTTTAACAGCTGATTTGCCTAATGACCTCAGTTATTCACTCAACGAGCTCCATAAAATTGTTGTAAAATAAGGTGTGACTCAGTTTAAGGCTGCAACAAGTTATGACAGAAATTAAGTGTAGGACTAGCTGTATCTCCATTTTCTGCTTTTAAGCACTCAAAAGTCATCTAGCTGGCCACTTTGCAGAACAAAATTGTACATTAAGATGGACCTTTACTTTTTCCACACACCCCCCCTTCTTATAACAGCTGATCTTTTTTTTTTTTTTTTTTACAGGAAAGGCATTTATTTTTAAAATAAGCAAACAAGGTCAGTTTCAGTTGGTTTTGATTACAGTTCCCACCAGTCCATGCCACCAGAGCCAGTGGTCAGGAATGATGAGAATTGTTCAAAACCTCTGAGCAAACATTGACTGACCTCTCTGGACAGTCAAAAGCAGGAAGAGAAATACTAATGCATTGCCAACAGAAAATTGGTTAACCAGTTGTAAATTTACTGAAATGGACAATTGTATTGTTCTGGGGAGAAATGATTGAAGTGAGTTCCTGCAAAATTTGAGTCCAATTAGAGCCACTAAGGATCAGAATCCTCTCTGAATTCGGATACCAAGCTGGATTTTTTTCTGCATAAAGAAGCTACCATTAATCCATGTTTCCCGTAACGTGCCAGTTAGTCCCTTGTTGCAAAAAAATCTACTTTATAGTTTGAAGCATCTTGAGTAAAATCTTAATCCAATTCATCACTCCTTCACTCCCATTCCTTCAATATTGATAGATCTGTTGATCAAAGGTGCCATTTTCATAGGATTAAGTAATTGGGGGCAATATCAAAACACTGAAGCTGACCACAAATTCTCAGCTTCTGAAATCATACCAGTTGGACAAATCTGTGCCTAATCACAGATATGTTGGATGGAAACATCAAGTTTAAATCTTAGTTTATAAATAGCTATATCATATGAGTTAAGATCGGTGGGATAAGGAGTATTTAGGAAAGTGGCTGAAGATGGAGGAGGACATGGGTTTATATGGGAGATGATACATTGCGATCAAACTGCAACTTTTGCTTCTGTCAGTAGCCATACTTATAATGTGGTATAACTATCATGATTCTGTGCCTGGCATCTTGCAGATTTTGATATACATGTACAGGAGGAAGTTACTGGGCAAAGAAAGTAGACAGTTAAATCATTGATGGTGTAGCACACAGGTCGGCAACCTGCGGCTCCGGAGCTGCATGCGGCTCTTTGAGCCTTCCCCTGTGGCTCCCAGCCTCCTCTGCCTTTGCAGAGAGAGACAGAGACAGAGAGAGGCAACTGCGCTTCCCTGCCCCCCCCTCTCTCTCTGTTTGTGTTTTTGTGTGTGTGTATGTATAAAAGAGTGCACTCACAGTGTTCTCTGAAGAGCTGAAAAGCTTACTGGGCGGAGCTCCTCCCTTTGCTGCGTCTCTGCAGGAAGCAGGAAGGGCAGGAGAGAGCTAGCTAGCCCAGCTAGGCTGACTCAGGAATTCTGGGAGTTGAAGTCCATGAGTCATAAAAGAGACGAGGTTGCCTACTCCTGCGCTTGTTGGACAACAGCTTGAAGCTTGCCAGGTGAGCAGCAGATAGAAGAGGGGGGGAGAGAAAGAGAGAGATGGAGGGAGGGAGAGAGAGAGAGAGAGGAAAGAGAGAGAGAGAAAGGAAGAGAGTGGGGAAAGAGGAGTGGCAGACCAAGGGCAGATAGAGAGGGAGGGAGAGAGAGAGAGACCCTTTTGACATCTAAAATGAAGATAACACTGCATATATCCTTTTTTTTACTTGGGTGTGTGTGTGTGTATGTGTGTGTGTGTGTGTATATATATATATATATGTATATGTATATATATATATATATATATATATATATGTTTTCTGAGGTTTTCGCGGGTATTTGTATATAGGTCTTTGGTTGTTCGGGTTTTCTCCCCACGTAAAATTGGAAGTGTCTTGGCGACGTTTCGACGAAGTCCCATTCGTCATCTTCAGGCTGGTGTTTTCAGCTTCGTGCTTCGAGCAGCAATGTGTGGTCTTAGCTGTTTCTTCCTTTTAACTGCCAGTGGGGGTATGAACTGATTGGGTGGGAGCTTGGCTGTGTTCTGATTGGGTGGAGGTGTGTTCTGATTGGTTAGGGGCTTGGCTGTGCTCTGATTGGCTGGGGGGTTGGCTGTGCTCTGATTGGCTGGGGGGTTGGCTGTGCTCTGATTGGCTGGGGGAGTGTTCTGTTTGGTTGTGCTCAGGTTAGTCTGAGTTGCAGAGGGATTCAAGATTTTGGGCTGCCCTGCCATTCCTTGGCTTCGCGTTCGTGGTCGTGCTTCCTCTTCATGGAGGGTGTCAGTTTGCTTCATGTATGGATTGGGGGGGTTTAAAGTGGCTAATGATGCAGCTGTGGTCTGGCTTCTGGTTTGTGGTCGTGCCTCATAGTCAGTGTGGCTTTGGGTTTGTTTTTTGCGTGGATGTTTGGTGGTGACCTCCTGTGTGGTTTTTGTGAGTGTGGGTCTGGTATCATTTTTTGTGTTAGGGAGTCGTTTGTCAATGAGGGCGGGTTTCCAAATGGCTGGTAGGCGGGAGGTATCATCTCGCTTGTTCATGCTGTGTGGGCGTTTTTCTATCTCGATGGCTTCTCTGATTATTCTGTTATTAAAATGTTCACTTTTGGCAATGGTTCTGGTATTTTTAAAGTCAATTTCATGTCCTGTGGCTTTAAGGTGTTGGACCAGGGAAGATGTTGGTTCCTCTTTTTTGACTGAGTTCTTATGTTCTTCAATGCGTGCACTTATTCTTCTGTTGGTTTGTCCGATGTATGTGGTGGGACAAGTGGTGCATGGGATTTCGTATACTCCTTGATTTTCTAATTCAATTTTATCTTTGGGGTTTCTAAGGATGGTGGATATTTTTCTGTTTGTGCAGAATGCTGTTTTGATGTTGTGTTTATGGAGGATCTTACTGATTCTGTCTGTGGTGCCTTTTATGTATGGGAGGAGGGCTTTGCCATTTTCTTGTTCTTTGTCTTGGATTTTAGTGGGGGTTTCTTTTTGGATTAGGTTTGTAATCTTATTTCTATGGAATCCATTGGATGTTAGTACATTGGTGAGAGTGTGTAGTTCGGGTTTTAGGTGTTGTTCGTCAGCTAACCAATCAGAACACACCTCCACCCAATCAGAACACAGCCAAGCTCCCACCCAATCAGTTCATACCTCCACTGGCAGTTAAAAGGAAGAAACAGCCAAGACCACACACTGCTGCTCGAGGCACGAAGCTGAAAGCACCAGCCTGAAGATGACGAATGGGACTTCGTCGAAACGTCGCCAAGACACTTCCAATTTTACGTGGGAGAAAACCCGAACAACCAAAGACCTATATATATATATATATATATATATATATTAAAAATTACATTAAAAATTGAAGAATAGTGATTCCTGGGTACATACATTTCAATAAAAAAGGAAAGCGATCACCAGGAAGTAAAACACCAAGGTTTTAATAAATAAAATCAAGCTTTCAATGGCTAACATCTGCCATCATCGTCAGGATACAAGCCAGTCAGTGAGGAAACCTGCTTATAAGCATAGCCACACCTAAAC